TAGTCATGTACTATTGTAACATGAAAATTCTTATTCGACTGAATAAATTCTTCATTAAGAATTTTCATACGGTCATGTTCAGTGAACTTGTTCTCTAACAAGCACCCACATAAATGTACTTACGTCTTACGCTAATGTTGATGGAATGCAACATTCTTGTCCAACAAGCATACAAACTATATGCAAGTCTTTTATGGATAATTCGATATCCCATCTCGAAACATCCATCGACTTGGAACTGTATTTAAGATCACGGCTTTCAAGGTATGTTCCATGATCACCATCTCTATGCGTAACCATACCTTATAACCATAAGTGATCTAGGGATTTTATCTTAAGTGCAATTATAAGATAAATGCTTTCTCTTAAGATAAAGAAATGCCTTAATATAATTCCAATAGATTGTATTTACAAGTAGAATACGTCCAATTAGATTGGAACGCCGGGTACCCTACTCTAACAGTTCTCACAAACTTTTCCACCTCTTGCTCATTGACCTTGTCCATCTCTGAACCGTGATACCTCTTTTTTTGCTTTACTGACCTCATGCTGAGCTTAATGTTGAGACGATGTTTGATAATGCTGGCCATCGATGCCCGTAAGTTTCTCCGTTGTATAAGCAAAAATGTCAGCAAATTCCTTAGTCAACCTTATCATCCTTGACCTCAGTGGTTCTCCAAGGTCTTTTCCAATCCTAAACTTCATGTCATCATGCCCTTCAACCATCTATACTTCCTCAATCTCGCCTCCTAGCTGAATATCCGTTTTTTCCTTCCATTTATCAAGCCTAGGTCTCTCCTCCTTCGACCTAGACCCACTTGATCGATCTGACATCTCCTCTTTAGGCCCTGCCACCCTCTTGGCAACCTGACGATTACTACTTTCTATAGTCTAGTAACGAATCCTCGAAGTTAATTGATCCCCTACAATTTCTCCACCATTCTCCTCAACTGGGTATTTGATCGTCATATGGAAGGTCGAAACTACCGCTTGGAAAGCATTTAAGCTAGTTTTCCCTAAAATGATACTGTAAGACCACTCCACACCGACTACTACGAATTGCACCATCCTAATCTTACGAGTCGCCCCCGAGCCCAGGGCGATAGGTAGAGCTATCTCCCCCATAGGCACAACCTCACTCCCATTGGAACCATATAAGGAGGTCACAACCTCCTTCAATTCAAAGTTTAAATTCTGATTGAACTGTTTAAAGTAGTCGTAGAACATTACATCAACTGAACTACATGTATCAATGAACGTCCGCTTGACATCGTACCCTGCGACCTCCGCCATGATGACCAGGGCATTATTGTGGGGCATCAACATTCCTTTAGCATCCTAAGCTTGAAAGGTGATCACCGACATCTGAGCTGTGATCCATACTTCCCCTCTTTTTCTTTTAATAGCTCGAACATTCTTCTTTTTTGCGTTTTTCGAGTCGTCATCGGTTAGACCACCAGATATCATGTAAATGGTGCCCCGTTTGATCGGGACTGCATCCACTGGCTCATCTCGACCTTCATCACCCTTCATTCTTTTTTTTCCTGGCCTCTTCGTCCTCCTCGATCCCCTCTCTTGTCCTCATCGTCCTCATCCTCTTGGTCATCCTTCTCAAGCGAATCCTCCCTACACCTCCTTGGTGCTTTTTTCTTTGCTCGATCATGATACACAAATTTTTTCAAATGGCCTGCTCGAAGAAAACGTTCGATTTCATCCTTTAAGTGCCTGCAGTTCTCCGTAGTATACCCATAATCCTTGCGGAACCTGCAATACTTGTTTGACCTTAGGCGAGTAGGCCCCTCGTTCCTTGAGCTCGACCAAGTAATATCTCGCTCATTCAACTTTCTTTCCATGATCTCTAACACCTCAACCATCTTTTGGGGTTCCAACGGCGTATAGTTATGATATCTTTTACCCTCCAGCATGTCCTCCCAACCTCTCTTCGACCTGCTCTGTCAGTCCCTCCATGGTGAGTTAGTCCTCTCCTTCTTGGGCTCGGGTCTGCCAACTGCTCCAACTTCATGAACTCCTCATCTGTTTCTTCCAGATTATCATACTTCTTACAACGCTTCAACACCTCATCATACATTCGAGTTGGTGTCTTTGCCAAAGAACTTCGACATGGGCCAGCTCGAAGACTCCTTATTAAGCCGCCAGCCTTCACCTCATTCGAAGCCGAGGGGATCTCGACACATGCCTGGTTATATCGAGCTAAGTATTTCCTCAAGGATTCTTCTTCTTCCTGTCTTATTGCCATTAAAGATAAATATGTTTTCTCCTGGGCCACAACGCTCGCATATTGATTCAAGAACCTTTCTGAAAGATCCTCAAAATCCCGCACTGACCCTGGGAGAAGCTGGTGAAACCAATCTAGTGCTCCACCAAGGTCGATAAGAATGCCCTACAGCTCACAGCATCCAAATATCCATGTAACATCGACATATTCTCGAATGAACGCACATGATTTGACGGGTCAGTTGACCCATAAGAGAATAAACTTACCTCCCGAAAGTTGGTTGGTAATGCTGCTGTCAAAATCTCAGTTGAAAAGGGAAGCCCTCGAGCTCGACCTACTGGTCTGCCATCCACCTTATCTTGCAATTGTCGCAATTGCTCCGCCATCCTCTCCAAGACCCGATCTCTCGGGTCTCCTCCTCCTCTGAAACTCGACTCGTCCTCCTCTGTATTTTTCTGTTGTGCATCGGACACTGTGGTCGGCGCCATAACGGCGTGTGAGGTATGATGTGATACCTGTTGCATTGCTCCCCTCGCGACCGCGTTAGTGATCATTCTCTCTATATCTTCCCTGGTCATTATCACCATTTGTTGACCAGCTCGCTCCTCGTCCCCCCTTGGTGGCTCCACCGGTTGCACGATGGCCCCCACCGGTTGAACTCTTGCTAGATCTGGCTGCGGTGGGCATGCACCACCAGTCCTTACACTGCCCGAGCCTCCTGCGCCCTGCTCGAGCCAACATCAGCTACTGGCATCATCGATGAACTCCCAAGGCCTTGAAGAGAAGGCATCGGGGTCGCCGGGATTGTGGAAGGTCCAGGGAAGCCCGGAGGAGGGCCTTCTCTGAACAGACGCATGTTTGTCCATGCATCATCAAACGTAGCCTCAAGGTTTTTTCTTGGGATTCCGTCCGCCATGGTTATGGTGAACAAAAGCTTTTCGAACAGAGTCCCACAGATGGCGCCAAATGGTATCAGAAAGACTTCCGACTGACTGGAATGAGCTAGAAACACCTGAAACTCGAACGGATCGCAGGATGAACGTCTTTGAACCTGCAGAACTCTCACACCTAAGGAGATCTCCGGTGAAGAGCCTCCGATGCTTAAGTAAGTAAGTGTAGAAGATGAAATGTAGTGAGAAAAACTCTCTGGATAATACTAAAGTATAATAGAGAATGTAATAGGTTTTTAGTCATACCTCACTCCCTTTTATAGGGAGAAGGTACCTTAGGGCCCAAGTTGGGCGTGTAAGCTTTCCACCAGCGAGCGAATGAGCTACCTCAGTCGTCAGGACTGTCAGAGCCATCCGGACTGTCAGAGGTGGTTATGAGGCGTGGACCACTCAGGTCGTGCCACGTGGTTTTACCCATGTGAGGGGTTTAACTCCCTTAAATTTCTTTCTTATCTTTAAGCTCTCCTCCTTAAGTGGCATGATCGCGGATTCGACCCCCATTATCTTCAAGTAAGGTGTCGTCAACAATAAGCTTTGCTATCCTATCCTTCTGGTTGATCGTTCGACCAGATCCCCTTTCCCTTCGACCTTCGACCAGTCTCTCTTAAAGCCTCCACTTGACCTCTTGGTATCTTCTAACCTCCAGTACTGTCTTTGACCAGAGTCTTTCGACCCAACCGATCCTCTCTCTCCCTTCGACTCAGTGATCAGACCGGTTCAGTCTGGTTGCTTCTACAGTCCAGTCAACCAGGTATGGTTATCCCATATCAAAATTGATGTATTGGAGATACTAGTTTGATTAAAATTTCTAGCCTTCTAACATTATTCCTATAAGAATTAACATTATAATTGTTTATTGATATGTGCTAAAAATCATTGTCTTTCAAAATTATAAAATTGAAGATGCTTTTATTATTATAGATTCAAAAATCTAATCAAATAAGTTATTTTAATAGGAGAAAAAATTCCTAATTTCCTCTTTCCCCTAAACCCATCGTCGCCGCCTCGCTCCTCTCCTTCTCAAGTCACAACCTCCCTTCCCCCCTTCTTCCTCAGGTAACCCACGACCCTAGCCCCGCTGCCCAGTCTTCGATGTGTCCCGAGACACGTGGCCTTGCTGCCTCCCTACGCCACGCCTCCGGCGCCTTGCGTCTTCCGTGGGATTGGTCTCCGATCACGACCGTGAGCGAGAGAGGGCCCGTGGAAGACCCCTCTCGGGCTGGGTTATGTGCCCCATTCTTGTCATGCCGCCCCTGCCTCGGGCAGGCCGTTTTCCGATGTCCTGGCCGCAGCTCCGCCGTATACTTCAGGCTGGTGACCTCCTAGATGGTTTCAATGCCGGGTCGAGTCCTTTCAGGGTACGCGGGTTTGGTCCTCAGGCATTGCTCAGAGCCGATTCCCTTTAGGCCCTCTTTCTCCCTCGATATGTGACTTAGGGCTTTCAGATCTGGTGCCGGTTCTACTTAGCCGCTTCCGTGGAGTTTTTAATTCGGTGGTCTCTTTTATAAAATCTACTTTAAGGATTTAAACATTTAAATAAGGTCAATCAACATCCAAACAACTAATCCTTCAATATATTAGACTGTTACATGAAATATATAGTTCAATTCATATTATATTTCTACTTTATTCCTTTACAACTTGGTTGTTGTTCTTTTTCCTAGGCTATGTTTGGTAAAGCTACCTGATAAGTTAGCTTATAACTTATCAGAAATTTTTTAGCTTATGATGTGTTTGGTAAGCCAATAAGTTAGCTTATAGCTTATTTGGTTATTTGATTAGCTTATAAGCTTCTTTAGGTAGCTTTTCAAATAAGCTAGTTGAATTTTTTATTCCAGCTAGCTTATCAGCTAATTTTACCAAACACTTTATCATATAAGCTAGCTTTTTAGCTATAAGTCATAAGGTTATAAGCTATAAGCTCAAAAATTACACATAAACTATAAGCTAGCTTATCAGCTATCAGCTATCAGCTAGTTTTACTAAATATAGCCATAGCTTATAGCTTATGACTTATAGCTGAAAAACTAGCTTATATGATAAAAGTGTTTAGTAAAATTAGCTGATAAGCTAGTTGGGATAAAAAATTCAACTAACTTATTTGAAAAGCTACCTAAAGAAGCTTATCAAATAAACTCGAGCTTTTCCTACCAAACGAGACTTATTGAATGCAAGGAGCTTATAAGTTAATCAAATAAGCTATATAACCTTATTCTATCCGTTCAATAAAATCTCAATCCGACGTCTCCCTCCGAACCCTAACCCTTTCAGATGTACAGTTGATCATTACATATTTTTTCTTTTTAATTCCGATCAACAATTCGAATCCTTCAGGTTCAATTATGATAGTCCGATTCAAAAACCTTGCCCTCCCCCTTCTAGTCGACGCCATGGCCTCCTCGCCGGCACCGTCATCTATCGCGAACGCCGTACTCCCCCCGCCTCCTTCCCCCGCCGGAGGAGACGGAGACGGAGCCCTGGACGATGCGTGGTACGGCAACATCCAATACCTCATCAACATCTCAGCCGTCGGTGCCCTCACCTGCCTGCTGATTTTTGTCTTCTTAAAGCTCCGCAGTGACCACCGCCGCGTGCCTGGGCCCACCGCCATCGCCTCCAAGCTCCTCGCCGTCTGGCACGCCACCAGCCGCGAGATTTCACACCACTGTGGTGCCGACGCCGCCCAGTTCCTGCTCACAGAAGGCGGCACCTCCGCCATCCTCCTTGTCCTTGCTGCCTTGGTTGCCATCGTCGTTCTTCCCATCAACATCTACGCAGGCAATGCACCGATTTCAGATGAATTTTCCAAGACCACCATAAATCACATCGCTAAAGGTTCGCCCCTGCTTTGGGTCCACTTCATTTTTGTAGTTGTGGTTGTGTTTATGGTCCATTATGGGATAAATGATATAGAAAGAAGGTTAAGAATCACGAGATTCCGAGATGGGAACGGAAATCCTAGCGAGCCAAGTGCGAACTCGAGTGCGATCTTCACCATCATGGTCCATGGAGTTCCGAAAACCTTAGGATTTGATAAGACTCCATTGGTTGAGTATTTTCAGCACAAGTATCCTGGAAAGATTTACAGAGTAGTAGTGCCAATGGATTTGTGCGCATTGGACGATTTAGCTACGGAGCTGGTGAAAGTGCGGGAGAGTATCTCAAAGATGGTTGAGAAAATTGAATCAAAGGGATTGGTAGATGAGATCGAGGATATCGAAGATGGAGGACAGGATGCAGGGTTTTGGGGTCGGTTTCGTTTTCTCTTGAGAAGGATGAAGGATTTGTGGTACAGAGCTTTACACGAACTAGGTTTCTCGGATGAGGAAAGACTGAGGAAGCTGCAAGAGTTGAGGGCCGATCTGGAGATGGAGATGGCAGCTTACAAGGAAGGACGGGCAAGGGGTGCTGGAGTTGCCTTTGTAGTTTTTAAGGATGTCTACACGGCCAACAAGGCTGTTCAGGATTTCCGAAATGAAAAAACGAGGCGAATTGGGAGGTTCTTCTCTCTAATGGAGTTGCAGCTACAGAGAAACCAGTGGAAAGTCGAACGAGCTCCATTGGCCAGCGACATATACTGGAACCACTTGGGATCTTCGAAATTTTCCCTAAAATTACGAAGGGTCCTTGTCAACACATGTCTTCTTTTGATGCTCTTGTTCTTCAGTTCTCCTCTTGCTGTGATCAGCGCCATCAAGAGTTCTGCCAGGATTATCAATGCTGAGGCAATAGATAATGCCCAGATGTGGCTGACTTGGCTCCAGAGCTCGAGCTGGGTAGTCACCATAATATTCCAGTTCCTGCCTAACGTAATTGTTTTCGTGAGCATGTACATAGTCATACCCTCAGCTCTTTCGTACCTATCAAAGTTCGAAAGGCATCTCACGGTGTCCCGCGAACAACGAGCCGCGTTATTAAAAATGGTCTGCTTTTTTCTCGTCAACCTCATTCTCTTACGGGCCCTGGTCGAGTCTTCTCTAGAGGGTGCTATTTTAAGGATGAGCAGGTGTTATTTGGACGGCGAGGATTGTAAAAGGATCGAAGAATACCTGAGTACATCTTTCCTGTCGAGATCATGCCTTTCTTCCTTGGCTTTTCTGATCACGAGCACTTTCCTTGGAATTTCTTTTGATCTGCTTGCCCCGGTACCTTGGATCAAGAAAAAGCTGCAGAAATTCCGGAAAAACGACATGCTCCAGCTTGTGCCAGAAAGAAGTGAGGATTATCCTTTGCAACATCAGGAAATTGATAGTTTAGAAAGGCCCTTGATATCTGAAAGGATTACTGTCAACAGTAGCAACGGGTTTTCCAATGGGTCATCCCCAACTGCAATAGATTTTCCTGGGCAGGACTTGTCCGAGTACCCGCCAGTCAGCAGCCGGACTTCACCTGTACCCAAACAAACGTTTGATTTTGCTCAGTACTACGCGTTTAACCTCACCATATTTGCCTTGACACTGATTTACTCATCTCTTTCCCCACTTGTGGTCCCAGTGGGTACAGTTTATTTCGGGTACAGATATGTCGTTGATAAGTACAATTTCCTGTTTGTGTATAGAGTGCGGGGTTTTCCAGCTGGCAATGACGGCAGGTTGGTAGATACAGTTCTGTGTGTCATGAGGTTTTGTGTTGACCTGTTCCTAGTCTCGATGCTGTTGTTCTTTTCATTGCATGGGGACTCAACTAAGCTTCAGGCAATATTCACTCTTTGTCTTTTGGTGGTTTATAAACTTTTGCCGAACGATTTGGATGGTTCTCGACCGGCTTTGTTGCAGGGGATGCATAGTGTTGATAGTGTGATTAATGGGTCCCTGGACTACGAGGCATTTTCACGGCCTACGTTTGAATGGGATGTTTACAGTTTATGATTTTGTATTTAAATTGTGGAAATTATTCGTTTTCTTGGATCAGATATGGTGTTCTTCATGATTAGCTGTATTGGTAGAAGCTTACTCTCAGTCTGCACACAATAGTCAAAGTCAGGTTATTCTGATAATAGGAACTGCACCAACACTACTACACACCTATAAGGCTATAACTCAAAGTCAGTTCTGTTTTACAAGTTGCTTTTGTTAAGCAAATTGGAAAAGCAAAGAGGTTGTAATGGGGAAAAACTTATTAATATGGTCCTTTGGCAACTATGATAAACAAATGTCAGAATAGTTTTTCCTACTAAATATACAAAGTCGTAGCATCTATCTTACAAAAGTAAAGCATTCTAGTCAACTCAAAACAATATTTTCTCTAATCTGATGTTGGAAATTTTGGTTATGAGCTGTTGTTTAGGCCAGAAAACAGAATTTCATGATATGGGAATTTTATAAAGAGAAAATTATGCCACGTGCCATAAAATCATAAATTATTTGCAAATCTACTAGATTATTTTTTTTATTTGCAGATATGAATTAAATGCTAAAAGTATTTGCATATATATGAGATGATAACGGCAGATTTCTTGGGATGTAAATATTTTTCCCAACTTCCCATCACCTTTCTCGGTTCTCCCTCCTCCAATCAATCATCTTCTCTCTCACACTCCATTCTTCACTTTGTGACTTTTTTTTTCCCTTCGTTATCTCCATCGTGAGTGGCGGAGGTCGTCAGACGGCGGGCTTCAGCCGAGAGCGGTGGGAACTCGATCTATTGGCACCGACGACAAAAACTCGATTATTACAACCAACGTGCAACAACACGAGTTGGACGAGATGGATACGACTAAGGGCAGAGAGTAGTGGGGTGTGGTCTTGAGCCATTGGTCGGCTAATTTAGGGTCACAGAGGAGAGAGAAAGAGGACTACTGGGGATGAGAGAGCAAGGAACGAACGATATATAACACGATTATGTTATGTATATGTGCACGAATGATATACTTACAGTATATCCTTGCTGCAACTCTATAGTTGTTTCATTACGGTATATGTGATGTTTATATATTGTACATGTTGTGTGTATATGTAGTATATTTTCCAGTATACTATATATAAACGGTATATAAATGGAATATAAACGGTACATAAATGAAATAGCCGAACATCAACTGTATATGCAGTTGGACTCCTCCAATATATGGTCGATGCTCACCGTCTTCCAGTCTCTGCCGCCATTAACCCAAAGCCGCGGGCTTAATCGGAGCGAGTCATTTGCCAAACCTCCAACGCTCAGTCAACCTCGCCGCACTTCAACGTCAACTAGGATGAGAGAGGGAGAGAAAAGAGATGAGAGAGAGAGAGAGCATTTTTAGGGGTGATTTTTTGTTATTAATTTAAATCAATTCAGTTATGGTATTTCACTTTATGGTGTGACCCTTCAGTTACGGGATTTAGTTAGAAAACTATTTATCAATATATTTTTTTTTTGGAATCTAGCAACTACCTAATCATTTTGCTTTATTTTCGTCCATGTGCAAATAATTTTAAATTATGTAAAATTGTAATTTTTTATGTTCAATCACGGTACAAATGTAAATAACCCTTTTATAAATTGTAGTTGGGCTGCTTGTGCCGTGGGATGGCCCATAAATTTGCTGCTACAGTTTTACTTAAATTGACCACTTTACAAATTATAGGACTACTATTGATTAATTGAATTTTAATAGAGAAACTTTACAACATCACATAATTACGGGACCATCTTTAAAATTGTCACTAATGATTAATTCCTACACAATGGTATAGCCATCTACTCAACGCAATTTAAACATCGGAAGATCCGATGCTACCCCTACTTAATTCCTACACAATGGTATAGCCATCTACTCAACGCGATTTAAACATCGGAAGATCCGATGCTACCCCTACTTATAGTGGCCTCACATGAGTGCTACCAACAATTTCACTTCAGTTATTTACCATTTCAGATATTTTACCTTGTTAATTGTTTTAACTTACTGGATAAATTATTTATTCTTTCAGATCTGAAACAGATTGTCTAATTGGTTCTTTTATGATTAAAGATTTTTCTTAAACTCGCATAAAATTTTTATTTTCTATTAGAGTTTTTCCTTTAGCGATATCAATAGCTCAATGTCAATGTCCTTCTAGAGGTGCTAATTCACATAAAGTTTTTTGAAAGAATGACCCGGTGCACGCCTCTCATAAGTTTTTTTTTTTTCTTTAAAGACGATATTAGTTTTTTATTATCATTTTTGACTTTTACGTTCCACTTGTACGATTTCTCCAAAGGCTAAAGATACACCATGAGTTTTATTTCTACCAACAGATCTACTTCCTCTCGGCTTTAATTCTCTCCGTTCAAAAAGCAAATCTCAGTATTCGGCGCCCCTCCTCTCCATCTGCCGTCGCGGCTTGCTCCGCTCTTCCAACCATAGGTTGGACCAGTGATGGGCAGCCATATCCTTCGGGCTCCGCCTTTCTGGCCATGGGGTGATTCCCGACGCCAGCGGAGGGTCTGCATCTCGGCGCCATCTCGCCCTGTCTCCGAGATCGTCTCCCTCTCGAAGTGTGGGTTAATCAGGGTTTCACAAAATTTAATTTTTTTTTTCCTGTGGAGGTTTCATTGATTGATCTAGATGTATGAGTTGTTGGATTTAAGATCTGAAAATTTGAAGATAGAATTCCAGCCGCACATCTGGATTTAATATCACAATTTTTTTTACCGTCTCCCTACTCCCGCCGCCGGCAACATTTGCCGCCTCGAGGTTTGGGTTAGTGATTTAGGGTTTCGGAAATTTTTAATTCTTTTTTTTTTTTGTTATGGATTTAAGATCTGATTTGAAGATAGAATTCTAGCGAGTCCATGGTCTGTTCGAGAGCTCTTATTGGATCATTCTTGAATAATTTTTAAAAAGTTCTTTGTAAGTAGATTGTTAGAATTAATTTGATGTTTATCTTGAGTTTATTTTAGTTAAATATTTTTTACCTGAAATATGAATCATGGGATGAGTTTTTGTGTTGTTAAAGCCTATATTTCTGAGTTATGAAAATGCTTGCGTGCTCATTCAGATGGAATCCCATGAGTCGCCAAAGTAGACGCGCGGATGCTTTTTGACTATTTGCACTGTACGCGTATTCGTCTCGATTTGTGGCGAAGCTGATTGCAAAGGTCGAGATTACAGAAGCTTGAACTGGTGTTATCAACAAGGAGAAAACAAGTGTCGAGAAAAGAGGTGAAAATGGGGATTTGAAGATCGGAAAAGTGATGGGCTGCGTTTCTTTTTTTTTTTTTTTTTATTTATGGCTTCGATTTCCTTTTTTTCTAATTTATGTATGTTAATATTTAGAAAAAAACTAAATTAAAGTAGCTTTTTAGTGTTAATTTGATGTTGATGTTTATCTATGATTTCATTTCATTTGTTAATTTCTGGAAGTTTTTTTAAGTAGTTCTTTGAGTGTTTTGATGTTTATCTATGATTTTATTAGGTTTTTCATTTCGTTTGTTAATTTCCGGAAGTTTTTTTAAAGTAGTTCTTTGAGTGTTTTGATGTTTATCTATAATTTTATTAGTTTTTCATTTCGTGTGTTAATTCCCGAAAGTTTTTTTAAAGCTGTTTTTTTTGAGTGTTTTGATGTTTATCTATGATTTTATTATGTTTATCAATAGCCGTATTATGAAAATAAAATATATATATATATGTTTATATTTTTCTGTGGATAAAAGTATTATTTTATAATTATAATAAATTGAAAATAAACCCTATATAATTTGTTCATGTATAATAAAGTGATTTTTTCTTGTATAATAAACTGAAAATAAACTATATATAAATTTAAATTTATAGTTTATATTCTTGTAATGTTTTATAAATCTATAATAAATTTAAAAAGTATTTTTGTAATGGTTTACACACTTATAATAAATTTAAAACAATCTAGATATAAAATTATGGTAGAAAAACTGGTTTATAAATATAAATTTAAAATAACAACAACAACAAAGTCTTTGGTCTCAAGCAAGTCGGGGTAGCCTAGAGATGAAACCCAAGAGAACACACAAAAAGGGTTAAAAAAAAAAGAGATTGGAGCAATTTAAAATAAAAGAATATATAAATTTAAATGTGGAATTTAATTATTTGATATACTTATTGGAGAGGGAAAATGAGCTAATAGTATGAGTTGGTCATTAACAACGTTTATTGCTGGAATTAATTAAGTTTTAATGCATAAAAATGGTAATTACTCTTTAAACTCAAAAAAGTGTGAAGTCTGACAAGGTTATAATAGTGACGTTTCCGAAGTCCTAAAATTGAAGGAGCTCGTAAAGTTGTGATTAACTTTTGCATCTCGCTTTTTAGGTATTAGCTTTACTTTGAGGCGTCTCTATGTACTTTAGCCAAGTTTTTTCTTCTATTGAACCCATATTTGAAAAGATATCTTCTAGCTCAATATAAGATCTTTTCTTATAATGTATACTATTATGACTATTAGTTAATGCATAACTTATGTAACACTAATAACTTTGTCTCCAGAGTTCATTAAACTCTCTTTCAAAATGATGAATAAAAGATAAGGTTTTATCTAAATTTGCAATTTGGATAGACATTCCAAATTTAGGATAAACCGTGAAGATGAACTTACCATAGACACGATTTCCTTTTGTTGCACCTAATATGCAATCTTTTCTATCATTAATTCTATCATCAATTAATGTCATTTTTATAAGAGTATAAATTCCTTCTTGAAACTCAGCTTTAAGCAAAATTTTTATTGCTCCTAGATGAATTGTTGGAATTTTATTTCTTATAGAAGACAGAATCTTCTCCAAATTTTTTCATATTTCTGCTTTAGTAATCAAAGGCAGATATACTGTTCCTTAAACATCTCTTATGTCTATATGCAATTCTTGCGTGTTAACAAAATAAAAGATTAAATTTTTTCTTTTAAAGAATTTTAACATTAAAATGTTGAAAATTTCTTCCTTTTTAAGATTTAACCTTGATTTTTGAATCTTTGTCAAAACATCATGTTTTATTGCTAAGCTAGCTTTAAAACCCTTTTATTTTCATTAAATGAAACTTATGAAAGATCACTATTGACATAGATCTTGTTCTATATCTCTTTTTTAATTATCCGTATTTGAATTCATATTCCAAACAGGTTTTCCAGTTGTCTCCACATCAAGATGCAATCACGAATACTGATACTCCCCGTTCTGAATTTTAATTCCGTATTGGAAAATGAATTCAAAAAATATTGATCGAAAGATCTATTATCCAACAGAATTTTTCTTTGATACCAGGCCCTGATACCAAGATTTTTAGACGAGCTGATTTTAAAAAGAATGCAATTAAGCAATTATTCAGAAGTAATGAACTGAGAATTTAACTTAGAGTTTTTTAAAAGACTAAGCACTCAAAATGGATGTTTGGGTTTTTGCTTTCATTATTAACTTCTTAATTATGATAATTAAGGAAATCATTCCATTACACCTTTGAAAATAAAATACTAAGCACCCAAAATGGATGTTTGTTTTTCTGCTTTCTTTATTAACTTCTTAATTATGGTAATTAAAGAAATCATTCCATTACACCTTTGAAAATAAATTCTAACGGCTATTTGTTGAACATCTGACAGTGCAAAACGATAAATTTGAACTAGATTATTCAACCTTTGTTCTTCTTTTAACATTTTTATTAATACAACAATTTGTTTCCTTAACGATTTGAGACAATTTATGTCTGTATTTTCAAACACAGCTCAGGGAAGAAGCAACAGAGAGACCAAGAACACACACAAACCTAGAACTTCATCATTACATAACATTCCATAGCCAGGCCAAAAGGCCACAGGCTAAAAGTTCCTCCCATACAATCATCAATCAAACACATACCAAAATCCAAAACGCTACCAGTACAGGAGACTAACCTTCAAATCAAACCACCTAAATGCCAGAAGGGACTATTTATTGAGTTCAAACACCTACAGGGCAGACTATTTATAGAGTTCTGCATACATTACAACACACAAGAGTCTTAACAGAAGTACACAAACCTAAGACAAAAGATACGATCAAACTGAGTCTGAATTTTTATTACATAAAACTTAAAGAGTAGAGCCCAACACGTACACATGCCTTTCTGTTATTTCTAACAGAAGAACATAGAGTTGCGAACATTTTCTTTCAGCTTAGGCATTGGGGCCACAGCTGGGACCCCACCAGCCCCAGACCCATTCTGGCTCGACGAAGTCTCTGATGCTTCCTCAAACTTCATCCACATGCCCAGTTGAGTGGCTGCCAGGTGAGCATAGCAAATTGGTGCAACTGCAAAAATACAATATGTTCGACTATTAAAAAAAAAGAAAGACAAATGGAGAAAATAAAGCATCAAGAAGCTTGATATGGTTTTGCGATTAGTTACCAACAGATATAGCAGTGGTACTACGCTGGTACCTGAAATAAACGGATATAATAGTTTTCAGAAGAGGTTTTTCCACAAATAGAGAATATGGATTCTAATGTTTAAAGCTAAGGGTCTTGTCTGTTTACACATATGAGAGGGAGTGCACGAGCTCTTGTAACTCATCAGCAGAAAAACCAACTTCGTCTAGCAGCACGTGATAATGTGTTGGCCTGGTTGTCCCCTTTAAGAAAAAATATACATACCAATATATATATATATATATATATATATATATATATATATATATATATGTGAACCAAATTACAAATACTTTTAAGTGATTAAGATTGAAACAAATGAGAAGGCTTACAATCATCCCTGCATGTGCACATAGGTAGAAGTCATTGTTCCTGGGGTGACACACTTTATCATCAATTATCGTCCCTTCAAAATCAAGAACAGCAAAAAGATTAGTGCTAGCATATTATTGGGAAAATGTATAAGTGGAGATGAAAACATGAAGACGTATTGTATTACCTGGCGGCACGTTATCGGGAGAATTTGCTTGGAAGAATTTTGTGTGGTGATTTTTCTGAGCAACAATCACGACAAACTTGGGGGACCATTTCTCGTCGAGGAACTTACAAGCCTGCATGAAAGAAAGACAAGTTGGAACCAGATTCTTTCACCATGATATACAGAAAGAAGTTTTCGGAATTTATTGGGATAGTTGTGAAGAAGGTCAACCTTTATAATTTGGTCCAATTCAATGTTCAGAACTTGATTGAATTGTGATTCACTCACACCATCTCTGCAATTTTAATGTCAGTCAATGATCAATATTACACAGAATAGGTAGGAAATGAATAATCTATTTCAAGAAAAATAAGGTGAATGTGCAGAAATACAACTATCAAAAGAAAGATCACTTCATTCAAAATTGAATTAAGTGGCCGACATCATAATTAGACTTCATGATAGATTATTATATCTCCCCTTCTTCAATGGAGTCGCATAAAAGAATCCATTAGTTGCAGATTTATGAAAACCATTCATATTGCTCTAACATATTTCTTAAATCTTGCCATCTGAGCTTAGCTTGGCTTCAAATTACCTGAATATGATGATTTGGTCAGGCTTCATCTTGTTAGAACTGATATAGAAATCAATGAGAGCTTCCCTGCAAGCCCAATCAACGCAAACAAGAGATGGAGTTACAGTTAATCACATGCCTCGTAATTCCACAGCACAACAAAATATAAACATAAACAAAACAAGAAATAAATAAGAAAATAATATATATATTTTGAATTCTTATAATGTCTTTGATTGTTCCTCCATCCAAATGTCTTCCCAACTCGGCATTACCATGCCTTCAGAAAACATCACCAGCCACTTCCTATGACTAATTAAACAAAATCGCAAAACTGCTAACAAAATCCCATTTTACAAAAAGACAACAGCAAACATACATAACCCGGAAAACTCACCTCAATATACCATCGTCTTCAGTGTCAGACACACGTTTGAACAGGGAATCTATCATTTCAACCTTTGGGGATTGAGTTCGGACACATGCCCTATAACGAGAAATTGATGGCCACTGTCTTGAGCTAACAACCTGGGTTTTTTTTAATAAGAATAAGTCTTCAGTTATAAATCCTGGATTTCCTTTTCTTTCCTTGTAAAAGACAAGGAATATGTTCCCTTATTGTGCGAAAGAAAATAATTTGAAATAAGCACGATGATGCTGGATAAAATTAAAATACATAAATATTTCAAGAAAATGGATCACAGCACTTTACCGCAGCAATTGAAGGGATATCAGATTGTCCAGGCGATCCATGTGAGACATCCATGCCAAGTATGAGAGTGGGAGCCTTAGACACCATAGGAATTGCCACTGAAGGTGACAGCTCACCAGCCAACACAGAGTTCAGCCCTCCAAGCTGCCGTCAGAAAGTGCATTCTCTCAGGAAATCTTTAATCAAATTTTAATTAAATAAAGTGCTCATGACCACAGGATATAGATTCTGCATCATCCACTAACCTTTGCATTGATCTTCAGCATGAGATTAGTCAGATATTGATCGTTCACTCGTGAGGGAGCAAGGCACTGAGTAACAACCCCAAAGTCTGCCAAGTTTTTACGCTTCCACGGGCCTTTGACGATTTTCAGCTCAAGTTATTAGTCATATGTAAGTGAAATTCGTAATAAATTTTCGTGAGAAAATCATGATTCTTGGAACATAAAAACAAACCGTATATGTCGCAATTTTTCCGCTCGGGAAGCAAACAGAGTAGAAACTTTGGTGGACCAGGAAGCTTCGATTGCACTAACTCAAACATTTTCTCAACCCTAATAACTGGCGGGGCCCGCCTGTGCTGATTATTTTCTTCAAAAACGTCAAATGGGGCTTCCACATTCTGATGCAATGAGATAAACAAGTTATAATGCCCAGTGAAAAGATTTTATATTCCCATGCATAAAACAGTAAGGTCTTTTTAAGAGATAACGTACTATTCCTTTAGATTCACCAATCCTGCTCAAATCTCTAATCAGACCACGCACGTCACAGCGTGCAGAAAAGTTCACCACTGCCCACCGTTCCACCTTGCATGGACTCGCAAATTTCTGCCAAAAAGAGATTTTTCTTCAATTTTTTTTTCCCCGACAACCAAGGCGTTGAACTGACTGCACATTAGCCTAACAAAAATATGTTTCACCTTGTTATTAAAATTCCACCTCCCGTTGCGAGTAAACAAATCTTCTCCATTGCCGACTTTGACCTTCAATTAAATGCAATTATGGTCATCAAGATTCAGGAGACCAGGCAAAGCAATCCACAATTACAACAAACAAAATTCCACAACATGATTCGAATAAAAATACAAGTAATATCTGAATTCAAGTCATACCTTCGGTGGCTGCAAAACACGCCCTTCAATCTGAGTAAAGTTGTTGTTAATAGAAACGCCGCAAGCACGAAGCATAGGCTCTGCATCGTAGTTATTGATTTTCAAAGCCTGCCATGAACACCAGAAGCAGCTTAAAGATATAAACTAAGAATGCTCAATTGGAAACAGAAGTCTAAAGAGAAGGACACTACATTGCTCAAAACAGACATCCTCTCATGTGGTTTCTGTCGCGACTTCTCCACCAGTGATGATCTTTGAAACGTAGACAAAGCTTTTGTGTACCTTTGAAGGGACACGAGAGAGCACAGCTAGAAACAAAATCACAGGATCAGTCAACGAATGACCGACACAGATTAAATTTATCTGAGAAACCAAAGTCTTAAAACTACACATGTCCCACCTCAAGAGGGAAGTAAGTCGGGCGTTTGGGCTTCCCGACATTAATGCACGGCAGATCAGCAGAATATCGCAAGTCAATGTTCCGGTATTTCACGAAGTAGTCATAGACTGTGATTTCTGTTGTTTCTCCATCCCCTTCTTTTGATTTCTGCTTCAGTTGGAACCTATAAGAGTTCAAGAAAGGCGTAAGTGCCATGAATCCATGTTAAAGAAAAAATAAACAGCCTGCCAATTTAGAAAGAGTAATAAAGAAAATCAACAAAAATGGGAAACATACGTTAGCTCCCTGCAATTCCTGTCACTTATCCCAGTTATCTTGAACTCCTGGTTACTGGGACTTGTTGTCACCCTCAAATTCTTGAGGGTACGCTTTGCCTGATAGCAAAGGTGAAAAGTCTTATCAGAAAAGATAAATATTTAAAAGAATTGTAAAAGAATATACATCAAAGGGCTGTCTTCTTGCCTTTGACCAGTCAACTGAGAAGGGATCTCGCACATTTTGATTGGCAAGCAGAAAGTCAACCACGGGCCCAGGCTGGATAATCATAGTCGTAGACACATCTAATAACATTTCAACAGTAGTTAAAACGCAATAAATCTATAACAATGAAGTACAAGGTCGAATGGTAAAACCTCAAACAGGAAAAATAAAATAGAAAGTATCAAGGCCAAAATATTACCAATGTTTAAAGATAAGCCACTTTGTGCTGCTCTGAAGCTCGAATGGAAACCTCGGCAGCCGAGAACTCCCCCACCAACCTCCACAAAGTTATTTACATCATTATGGAAAAATGACTGACGAACAAGCAGACAACCTCTGCAATAAGAACACGCATTGTCAGTTGAAAATCTTTTCATTTAATTATTCAAATTAATGAAATTGAGCATGACTTACTGCTTTGCCGCATGCTGCCTTAATATGATATCCAAAACCCGGAGGGCTTCTTGAGAGTTCTCGGATTCCTGTCCACGCAAAGCGTTTGCAATGGCCTGCATAGGGATTTTCGCAGCAAAACTTAACTCCACTTTGAAGGTCTTGGAGTTGTATGGACGCCTAACCCTTTTCTTATCACTCTCATTAGGACTGCCTGGCCCACCAGGGCTGGCATTCCCATTGTTCCTGATATCAAACGTATTCATCAGCATAAAAGCGTCAAAGCACAGTTTAAAGTTATTACAACACGCAATGCACACCTGCTCGACTTGACATCCTCAAGAACAACAGTGAATTCCATTTTATTTCGTGGAAGTGCACCAACAGTGAACAAACTCTTTTCTCCATCATAAGCGAAATCTTTTCCACCTAACTCAGAACCATATGTTTCATGAACCCTGTCAAGCACTTTCCTGCCAACTCCTTTTCCGTCAACTGGACGGCCATCTTCGTAAAAAAGCGCAACCTACCAAAAAATTAAAATAAAAAAAAGTTATTCAATGATAAGAAAATAAAACAGAAAACAGGTAAGTTGAGAAACTAAATGTATCTGCAGACGTACACTGTAATGAAAGAAGTGCCCATTGACATTATTCACGTTGACTCTGAAGTGATTAGTCAGAATAGAAATTTTATTTCCTTTGGTCCCGAGGCCTCGTCTGGCCATAGGAGCACGGATAATCTTCACAACTTCTTCTTCTGGTACGACTTTGATAGGATTAACATTTTCGGTAACAGGTGGTGGCGGGGGGAGAGCTTCTGGAGCCACAGCAGCCCCGTTACCTTCTTCAGAAGGATCCATGTCCAGATCTGAATAAAAGAAAATGAAGGTGAATTACTTAATAAAACACCAGAAATAATATGACAAACTCACATGTAAATGGTGCTGAATCATAGTAACCATATTACAAGTACGAGTATTTTCAGAAAGGTTTGTTTTTATATAAACAGATAAAAATGCCACTACACTTCCAGAAACAGATGTAAATGCATGTACCAAGTATGACAAAAATCTGTCTTTCAAAACTCTAAAGAGCACAAACATTGTCAAAAATGAAAAATCATGCCCAGGAAACAGAGAGCAGTAGATAAGGTAAGAAAAAATTTGAATGTATCTTATCAAACAGAAAGATCCTAGCTTTGTTTTTGTTTTAGTGGTCAAAACTTGAAATGAAATTTGCTACACAGAAACTTACAGGAAAATATAAAAGGTAAGTAAATTTATACGACCAACATAGGCCTGACAAAAGTGAAAATTAAACAATAGTGCATGTCAAAATATTGATATGCATGTCAAAATAAAATAAGGAAAACAGAAACTGAACTAGCAAAGGAATAAAGCTTTTAGCTCAACCTACTTCATTTCAAGTAAGAGAGAAATGATATACTTTCAGCTGTTTAAGAAAGGGAAAACTAAGTACTTTAAGAAAAGGAAAAATGCAAAAAAACTTGCTAAGGCTGATAGTTTGAGACTTTAGGAGGTAATTCACTCGATGGAGCAGTACACAAAATTAAGAAAAAATACATGAATTTTTTAAAAGAATCTGCCTTTTAAGCGTTAAAAGAACACAAAAATTGACAAGCATCATACAAAACACTGACAGAAAACATAGAGCAGTATATCAGGTCAGAAATATCTTAAATTTATCTTTACTGACACAAACACAAAAAGATTCTAGCTTTGATTTATGTTTAGTGGGCAAAATCTGAAACCAAATTTAATAGGCAGGGACCCGAAGGAAAAATAGAAACAATAATTAAATAATCTAAAAGCAGTCATGACAAATTGAAATGCATAAATTAAATAGGCCAACAGAGATTTCTTTCTTTTTTTCCCTTTATTATCTGTACCTTTTGTAAGTTCTAGTTTCTAAATACCCAAAAAGTCGCAAAACATCAATGCATGTAAAAAACATAAATAAGGTGAAACAAAAACTGACTCAGTAAATGAATAAACTTTATCTCAACCCACCTTCATTTCACAAGAGAAAATATATTTTTTTTTAGCAATTTAAGAAAGGAGAATTAAGTAGTTGTTTAATAAAGGGAAGTCGTTTGAGACAAAACTAACAAAAATTACACAAAATAATTCGGAAAACCTGAAACAACAAAACTATACAAAGGACACAAACCTTGTAAATTAAAGACTTAAAGTACCATACTCATACATAACAACTTAAAGCCAATAAATTTTTCAAAAACGCATTTCTCAAATAATGAGCATGCATGTTAAGAAACATAATGCAAGAAGCCAAAAACACAGACTACAGATAAAGAGACGAAGGGAGCTCTTTTACCTTAGAATCTAACCACTTCAGTAGATAAAGACGCTGCACATAGCTCCAAATAACTGCAAATAAGAAGAAGAACAAACTAAACACCACAAATCAACGAAAACCAAGTTATTTCGTCAAGAAACAACAGAAATTCGCCAATATTAGGACAAAAATTCTGTAGAACACAAACCCACATGACAGATTCACTCACACGAAATGTGATTTTCAAGCAAAAAAAGAAAAAAAAGGAACTCACNAGAAAACCCACACTACCATAAACATTAGCAAAAGAGCTAAAGAGTGACCAAAGTAAATAGCAAGGTTGAAAAAATAAAACCCTAGAATTGAAGCCGTTTAAACTTTCACGGCCTGTAACAGGAGATGGAGGGAGAGAAGTTTGAGAGAGAGAGAGGTGTGTAGTGTACCTTAGACTGAATAGTGAATAGCGAGTGAATGACCTAAATTGTGGGGAAAAGGAAAGGGGGCCGCACTCATTTATAATGGGCGCTGGGCACAACTAATCCTGCTTACATAGTTGGTTTAAAATTTAAATGCTAATGAGCGAATCGACAGACTTGTCTGGACCACGGTGCATTGAGCCGCGGGGTATTCAGGACCTTTCGGCCCCGCAACGGAACCCCACCGACTAGGAATGCGCTCGAAGTGGAGCACTGCCCACACGTGTCCAATTCGTGTGTAGCACGCACACGTACACCATAACCACCATTGCTACTAAATATTTTATCTCCAAGAAATTGATAGTCAATATAATAAAAGAGCACTTTGTGTCTAATCTTATATATCTTCTATAAATTTATATTTATATTTATACTAGGAGGGTAGGGCTGTGCAAGGCACAGCCGGCCCAAGTGTGTTTATTAATCCTATACGAAGTATTGAAAACATAAAAAAGAAAGAATTGGATGATCAAAAGATACATTACACAAAAGCATAGTCATGGGCATAACATTGAGTATTTTCCTTTTACAGAATCGAAAAGCATCTATATGTAAATAGATGCATTTAATTCTGTTAAGGATTTGACTACAAAATATCAGTTTTTAGGTAGGTTTTTTTAACCTTGCAAATTTCAAATTTGTACATAAAAGAAGCATCCATTCTTCATGTTTTTCTAGTTCAAAAGTCAAAAGCTTGATGTGTCGAGCCAAAAATCAAAAGCTGTAGGTGTCGAGGCGTCAATCCATTTTGGGTCGACTTTTCTTTGAAGGGCTGGCAGGTAGATCTTTATGTGTTTCAAGATTGAACTGACTTGGTTTTGGTGAAGCTTGTTTTGATGGTGTGGCAGTTGTGATTGAGGAGGAGGCTATTGGTTGGGTTTCAAAGTAAATGCGCTTTTTAACAAGTGGTTCTGAACTTCCGATGGTTGGATCTTTCTCAATTTTCATGGCAACGGACTGGAGCACATTTTTGAGTGTTGGGGTGAAGAGTTGTTTTTCGACAACCTGTTTCATAAAATAGAAGAGTTATTGTAGGTCATTGATAAAATATGAACGTGAAGAACTACAAATTGCCATTGTAGTATATTGCACCTGGGCTGATGATGAACTGGCTGTGTCTTTTTTGGAGAGTTGTTCTTCATGCATATTCTTCTCGGTGTTCATGTGGTCAGCGGTATAAAGCTTTAGAATTGTATGATAACCAGACTCAGTATACTTAATGAAACAGACAACGTTGTGCTTTTCTATCACTGCTTCAATTTCACCTTTTATGTTTTGGCCCTGCACAATCAAAGTATATTGATTACAATCAGTTTAAGTTAGTGTAAAGTTTTATAGCAGAAGCCAATCTATTATATAAAGTCAAATGTTTTAGGTATACATAAAAGGAATGTAAATGTATAAACACATTATGTGGTGTACAGTAGGAAGTGAAGATATTTAATAACTAATGTGTTATGGTAATGACTAATACTTATATATCACTTTTATCATTAAAAAAGTTCAGCAAGAAGAATACTAACATTTTTCTCTGCTTCATACAAATCATTCCCGCTGAACGGGATAATTCTTTCTGCATCAGTCCCATAGATTATTGCATATATTGTTCCTGTTTCATCTTTAATTGCCATTGGAATCCGACACCTATTATTTTAAAAAACAAAAATTATGTAGTAGACTACCATGTAAGATTATAGTGGTTCATTGTAATAATAGTATTTTGGTATTATGAAAACTACGTACCTTGCTTCAACGTAAGTATCCGCCTGGCAGCTTCGACATTTCATTGTTGTGTTTGGTGGCATATTGTAATTCTTGCGGCAGTTGCCGCACGTGGCTGCCCATAAGGATTTGGCGTCGCTTGCGAGCTTCATTTTTCCGCTGACCCAACAAGTCTTCGTCTGAAGCAGATATTGAGAGTATATAGACTTAAGCCTTTCAATTTTATCTTCAGCACTAGAAGGCTGCGGCTGTGCACAGCACAGCCGGCCCAAGTCAGGCAGGCATTTGAGTGCCACTAAATTGCAAAGAAGGTTAATTCAACATAGGCATGCACATTATATTAGTTAAACATCAATCCATAATATATATACACAAAAGTGTAGTAGCTAGAGAGCACAAATATTTGAATTCTTCATGATAATTCAGAAGCATCTACATGTAAATAGATGCCTAGAATTTTGCCAAGGATATTTGGCATACACAAAAGCTAAGTTTGCATGGCACTGATGCCACTAAGATGGCTGAAATTTTGGTATATATACATAAAAAAACAAAAAAGGTTTGTACCACGACGCTTATTCGTACAGGCGTTCGGACGACTTTTCTTTCAAGTACTTGCATCAGCCTTTGGAAAATCACAACTTGAGCAAATAACTTCAGCGAAGAAAGCAAAGAAAGCAAAGAACTAAAAAAGGTTGTAATGTTTTATATAATCAAGCTAAAATAACATGAGAAAGCAGAGCCGAAAGTTTTTTGTAACACTTCATTACACACGTGAATGCATGCATTTATGTTAGCCTAAATTTACTCTAATATATATAATGAATAAATCTACCAATGAGCAAAATTATTGAAGTCACATAATCCAAACAGTTAATGAATTATCAATAATCAACTACTTTACAAACATACATAGATAAACAGAAATATTTTTTTTATACAATAAACACGCAGCAAAACAGACAAAAAAAAGATCGGAAAACCAAAATGATCTATTATATGCACATCAGGTAATTAATAGTATATTGGGAAGCACACAGATAAATAAATGGTTAAATGAAGGAAAACACACAGATGAATAAATGGTTAAATGAAGGAAAACGGTTAACAGTTGATGTGCACAAAAGGAAGCTAACCTCATAGCAACTAACAAACACTTCACTCTCCCTGCTGGCCAATAGAATTCCAAGAGCTTTAAACAGCAGTTTCACAAAATAATACTGTCACCTACATATTTATTAAGAATTAAACTATAGTTTTGAAAGATGACCACATAAATGATTATGATAAAAAACAAAATTGTTGAAAACAAATATATCATTGAAGCAAGAAGATAATTAATTTACATACATACATATCCATATAATCGAACAAACACATTAAATTCCCAGACCATAAAGAAAAATAGTTAACTAATAGAAAACAATTGATTTTGCACAATAAGCAGAAACAAATATCTTATAAACATATGAAACTGCAATTTGCTGATGGAATAGACATAGTTAACAGGTAATAAACAGACTATGAGACTCAAATTGGATTGCGACAAACAAATAATGTAAATTTGAACATACTGTTAGCCTAACGGCTCACCTCCTCAATTACATCGACCCTCAGTTCGGATTGGTTCTTCATGCTTCACTTATCACCCTATCTATACTTCGGGTGAACGCGATGTTGTGAAACATATCAAGTACCAATCTTCTGCTGAATAAATGGAGTTCTTAAATTGTCTCCTAACAACAGCACTTTAACTTTAACTGAATGAAGGCACACAAACAATGGCTTGTTTTTATTTTTACCATCACAACAAAACTTTTATGCATACAAAAAAAAAGTAAATAAAAGGAAGACATATACAGTCATCAATGATCAAACCATGCCTTTGGGATAGTTAATGCAGGATGGCATGTAGCATATATGCTATGAAACATGTGCTTGAAAATTAATATTTAGTTACATTTAAAGCAGCATATAGTGCTTAAGAAAAGGAACATATATAAAAGAATATATATTGCATGTCTAATGTTACCCAAAAATTGTAAGCAAACCTATACCCATTCATGCCGAAAGCAACAACAAAATTTAAGCAAAAGCAATAAAGACACTCCCTTCCATTAACTTAGACCCTCGCATAACTGATTATGAAATTATAAATAAGTGTTGAAAATAAACACATCAATGAAGCAAGAATTGAACTAATTAATAAACATATTATATAACTATACACACATATATATGTATAATCTAGCTAACACATTAAATTCGAAGCTCATTAAAAAAAGTAGTCGATCAATACAAAAAATTGATTTGCAGAATAAGCAGAAATAGACATCTTATCTTACAGACATTAAATTGCAATTTGGTTATGGAACGGACATAGTTAACAACTGATAAACAGATTTCAATTTGGATGGCTACTGTAAATTCGATGACAACAAATTTACATAGCATTAAGAAAAATAATAATTTCATAGAAAACAGATAAATTTGCACGATAAGACTCATGAAAATCTTGCAGAACATATTAAAAAAAAAATCTGCAACTAAATTTTTATAAAAAGACTCCAAGTGAAAAAACCTCAATTTAATGGGGGCAAATAAACAATGTCTTGTTCACTTATTCCATGACAGGTTAAACTCCTATGAACACAAACAAACAATAAATAACTGGAATAGCCATATAGTTATGAATGAACAAACTATGTCTCATATGTAAAATCACATAAATAATGTACTCCAACTCAATGAAGGCAAACAAACAATGGCTTATGTATTTCTACCATGACAGATACAACTTTTATATACAGAAAAAATAGTAAATAAGAGGAATACCCATATAGCTATCAATGAACAAACTATGTCTTGGACATAAAACCACATAAATTACTGTAGGATGGTATGTAGCATTTATGCAATGAACAGGTGCTTGAAAAGCTGATATCTATTTACATTTAAAGTAGCACGTAATGCTTCAAAGAAGGTGTGCATATAAAAATATATATATATTGCATGCATGTTATCAAAAGATTCTAAATAGGCTTATATCCATTCATGCCCAAAGCAACAACAAAGTTTAAACAAAAGCAAGAAAGACAGTCTCTTTCATTACCTTATAGCTATATATACTATAAGCTGTCCAGTAAATGAAAACCTGTCCAAGAGTTGTAGGCGCCGAATATATGAATACCCTATATAAAAATCAATAATAAAATTATTATAGTTGGGGCAATTTAAACATCAGCCTCACAAAAAAACACAGTTTCAGGTACAAATTTATTAAGAACTAAACTATATTTTAGAAAGACCCTTACATAAGTAATTATGAAATTAAAAAAAAAAATTGTTGAAGATAAGACATCAATGAAGCACCTGAAGATATAAATCTAAAACCCCACTTAATGGACGAAATTGCACACCATACAGATTGAATACCATATCACAACATACACCTCTCCACCATCCAACTATCTGGCCATTCGAATTTTTGTTTTAATTTTTTAACATAAGAGCACTAAGTATTAAGATGCAAAAATAAACACACATAAATTCAATGAATAGATTGGAGGACAAAGGAAAAAACTGAGAAGATAATAGATCTTCTAAAAAAAAAGGAGCACCAGCACCAAAAATTGAACAAGAAGAAGTGGAAACTTAACTTGCCTGGTCAGCATGTCCACAGATTCCTATTGTGAAGAACACCAATCAATACTCCTCGTCACCTGCCAAACTAAAACACAGACACCACGAAAATAAGAACCCTAGCCAAAATTATTTTAAATTCTGGTTCAATTTAAAATCAAAACAACCACAATAGAAGAAATCGACCTCTCACATACCATACAAAGGAACAACAACAAAAAATTTGAAAAAACTCAAAATCACTGAACCCAATTAATTGTATACCAATATATGCAATGATCTCTGATTCCAGGGCCAGGTAACGACTGACCAAGGATTCCCGCCGCAGGCAACCTCGTTCGAAGAACAAAAAATTAAAATAACACATTGAAGAAGTAAGTACCCAAAAATTAAACAATACTAAAAATGCAAAACTAAATCCCTAAAATTACCGGAATTTTGATCTCAAATCACATAATAGCAACATCCACTTATGTCGATGGCTACATCTAACCGGATCGTCAGCCCTATCCCCAGGGTGAACATCACACGACGAAGCCTCAGCCCGGCCCCCGTCGCGAAGCCCACTCATCAGCAAAAGAAACCACTACACACGAAGCCAAACTATGGTAGCTAAAATCCAATTTCTTTTGTTTATAATGTAAAATAGAACATATATAAAAGAAAACAAATTTCTATTTCGCTATTAAGCTAAATATCAAAACTTCTATATCAGCTAGATCTTTGAAATATAAACAAGAAATGACAAAATGAAGAAATATTTGTAATTTCCCAATCAACATAGTGAACCCAGGAAAAAAACAATTCAATTAATCACGAAAAACACACACAATGAAATCAAAATCTCACCCTGGGACTACAATTTAAGTCTGTTATTTCAATTATGAAGATTAGAGGTGTGATTAAGGACTTACCTCAAAAAGGAAAATGAATTACCTCGTTCGAACTTGGGCTGCAAAAAGTTCTTCATCTTCTTAGAATTAAGAGCGCAACCCAGAATCATCACTTTCATAGCCAGAGGCGTGTAACCATCTTTATCATCAAGATGCTCCAAAATAACACCAACATTAACTAATAAAAAAGCTAAGGGGTAACAAAAAAAGGTTGTTCTATAACATCAGAACAACGGCTCTCCTTCACGCTTCACAAACAATCGAAGGTCACAAAGTCGTGAAGAATGAGAAACATAGGGAGGGGGAGAGAGAGTTCAGCCGCGAAGGAGTTAGGGCAAGCATGAGAAGAGATTATTTAAGAGTCAGACGAACGGTAGTGATTCAATCCCTAAAATCCTACGATCAAGAAATAACCTTACCAAACGGCGTCGTTTTGATTGTGAAAGACGTGGGCTCATAAAATCCTTGCGCCACGTGTCGACCGAAGGAGGCTGGTGCCATCTTTTTATATATTAAGAGTAAAGATATAATAATTTAAGCATCTAATAATTCAAGCAGTTGGATAAGTATTTACATTTTATATACTACAATGAATAATCATCAAGCAAAAATGATTGGATCAAACATGTTTTTTTTTTCTCTGAGTTTAGTGGCAATTATAAAATTGGAAAAAAAAAATCTATTATCTAGTGAGACTCTTTCATTGATTGCATTACTGGATTTAAAATGCATATACAATTTACAGAGCATTTGAGACGACAAATAGTAATAAAAAATCTGTAATTTTTTTTTCACTTGTCAATAGTGTGCTCTTCGAAAAGATATTAACTTTAAATAATTAACTGTATACAGAAGCAAATCTATTTATCCTATTTTGAAGAATTACAATGCCACTAATAAGTGTTGTTTCAAAAAATTTAGCTATATATCAGAAAACAGTAATTACTACCCAAAAAGCATGACTGGCATAACCGTAATCTACCTTTTAGTTGTTTGATATAAATAGAAAATAGAATCTTTTATTCACTGTGGTATTTTTTTTAATGGGTTAGGTGTTAATATATAGAGAATCAAGAGAGTGGAGTAAATATATCAGGCCTCACTGTAAATGCAATATTATGTATGTTTTACTAAATTTATCATTTATAACGTTTAGATTTGAGATCTTATATATTTGAGGGACTTCACTGCTTCCTGCACAGTAATTATATCAGTGCTTTCAGGCCATGGGTATAATTTGTCTGTGTCTTTATATGCTCCTTCATCAACAAGTTTTGCAACACTGTCTTTGTTCTAAATATACCTGTAATGTAGTTTTGCTTACATAAATAGATATACATGTAAATTTATAGGTTTATATGAAAATTAAGGTTAGAACATACCACTGTTTCAGATCGACTGCGGCAGGTATAAGTGGATTGACCATCACGCAAGTCCCAACTTTAGTCGACAACGACAATCCGTGATAGCACAAAAGTTGGTTTAAGTAAATGCTGTATCTAAGTATATTGTTTTTTTTTTTAACACTATTTATCTAAATCATACCATGGAATGTGGTGACTCGGCTTCTCATAGCGAGAACAATATTAACTGATGCAATTGTATTAGTCAGCGTTTCACCATCATCTTTCTCGAACTGATTCCATAGTGTAAGAATCGTTGGTTTCATTCTGCAGAACAATAAAATGATGAATTAAAGAATGAGATACATGCATATATTTTGTTTGTACTTGATTTAGTTAAATCTGTTGCTTACTCTTCGTTGATGACGATCAGTTCACGTGTTGTGTTAGTACCAACAGTCCTTTTTGGAAAAGCATGAACAATAACTGCAAGCAAGTCTGTAGATGATTTGCAAATTTAGAAATTGTCAGTTTAACTTAGCTAGAAATGTTTTTTTTAATATTCTTAAATGAAGTATATAAAATACTCACTTCTGGGATTCTCCGTATCTGCATATTTGTGTAAACTTGCAAATTGATGAATTTCAATTGAGCACGGAAGTTGTGGAGGCACGGGTTCTTCATAGTCTTCAACATTGGTACCTTTAACCAGAGTCCATTTGTACTTGTAATCACCAACCTGATACAGTGGTATCTCTGGACGTACTTTTGCTCCGGAAACATAATATCTTTTGTATGGCATGAGCAACGGTGGCGTAAATTCGTCAATGACATTGTTGTAAACAACGGCAGCTACTTTTGTGCCCTGTTATGCAATGGTAATAATTAGTAGTATTTAAGTAAATGATTATTATGTTAAATTAACAAAAGAAATATGTTGAGTAATTGTTTAGCTCTTCATCTGTGAATAAGTATCTGCGATAATGCATTGTCGAATCATTTTTGCTTTGGTGAACGGGTGGCCTCTCAACAACTTGGATAAGTGCAGTCCAGTTGTTGGTGGCTTCTGTAATCTCTTTAATCGGTAGATATATCCTCGACATTGTCACCTGTAGAAATTTGTAATAGAAGGCAGAGGCAGTTAGCAAAATTATTCGGTATTTAATATAATTTCATTTTTGCAGAAATGATATTATGTTTTTGAAATGAAATAAAATTGTATCTAAGTACATTGTATTACTGAAGCTGCCTCAAGAACTTCATTGTATACCACGTTTTTCGTTATATCAAATTCTTGTGGGCTGAAAAAAGGTGGTTTGATTACAAACTTAATGGCCGATGATTGTCTTGCACGAGATAACGCTACATATAGTTGGCCATGTGAAAAAACTGGTTCCCTTAAATAAATACCGACTGATTCTAGTGTTTGACCTTGAGCTTTATTAATAGTCATAGCAAAACACAGTCTAATAGGGAATTGCGTTCTTGTGTAAGCCACAGGCACTTGGTCATCATCGGAAGGTTTTAATGGAATTCTATGAATAAAAACATTTTTCCCTTTGATGTCTCCAACAGCTATTTGTGCATGGATAATGTTTCGACTTAATTTTTTACATATGAGTCGTGTTCCATTACACAAGCCTTCCGTAGGATCTAAGTTTCGAAGTAGCATAACAGGAGCATTAACTTTTAACTGTAACTTATGAGGGGGCATTCCACCAGGGGTCAAAGAATTTATTATATCTTCATAAAGACCTTTATGGATAAGATTAACCACTTCATCAAAACTGAGATATTCAACCATTTCACCTGGAAAATCATTTATTAATTTATTATTTATGTCGTCGACAAAACAATTTTTAGTAGATAAGATTGCTCTGTTCATTTGAAAATTGGGAGTTGTGTCATTCTGGTCATTGATATTGTCTGCATTTTGTACAGAATTAGTTTGAAAATTAGGATATATTCTTGCAATTAGTTGGTCCAGAGCATCTTCTGTATTAGCATTAGTTAATATAAGCGAGGGAGGTAAACGAACTGAATTGTTATTACATGTGGGTTCTACGCCATTCCCTATTCGTAACAAATATTCAGTAAATGAAGGGTCAAATCGAGCTCTCATATTTTCTATTAGTCGAATTTTTTCTAGTAATGGCCAGATATAGGAATTTGTAATGCATGCATTTATGGTATCATGTTTATTTCCCTTGCGAACCACAGGTAAAATTTGTCTAAAATCGCCGCCAAAAACAATAACTTTACCACCAAATACTTCAGGTGAGTCTGTTAAATCTTTCAGCATACGATCAAGTGCTTCTATTGATATTTTTTTAGCCATTGGTGCTTCATCCCATACAATTAGCTTGCTTTCACGTATCAAGTTTGCTAAGTTACTTTGTTTGCTAATTTTACATGAATTTCCTTTTGATATATCTATTGGTATTTTAAAGCGCGAGTGCGCTGTTCTACCACCTGGTAGTATTGAAGCCGTGATACCTGAAGTAGCTGTTGCTAAGGCTATATATCCTTTCGATCTAATATCAGCCAATAAAGCTCTGTATAGAAAAGTTTTTCCCGTACCACCTGGGCCATCAATAAAAAAGGCTCCTGGTTTTTCACTATACACACGCTCCAATATGATCGTAAAAGCTTGTTTCTGGACTTTGTTAAGTAACGATATAGCATTTAAATCTTCTTCACAAACGATAATATTTCTTTCAGCGATTATTTCTTTATTATCTTCTTCAATATGTAAGGTCAAATTATCTGGCAAAATGTTAAATGAATGAATACTTCCTCCCATTGATTCTAAAAAATCATTTATTTGCTGGAAAACTTTTTTTTTAATATCTATGGTACTTAAGTTTGAGTTCCTCGAAAAATCTTCAGACATAGCTTCTTCGAATTTATAAAATAAATCTCTAGGGTTGTTAGGACATGAATAAACAAGTAAGTTAGCAAATAGTCTCCTCATTTCATATGGCATTTTAAAGACTGCAGCTTCTTTCAGACATTGTTCTTGTGTGTTATCATCTTGTAATAAGCCTCTTAAAAGAGCAGCTTCATGATTTGACTCGGCAATTTTTCCATTAAAAGATCTGATATCTTCGAAAGATTTTGGCCATTTAACATGAAGTAAAAGAAGTTTAAGATAATACCTGTCGCCCTCGTTAGGATGCACAGGTACTATTCGGCCTATTGAATCTCTTTCACTTCTCTTTTTTCATTTTTTTTCTTCAGTT